CCTTGAGGACTTTTGTTTAACTTTTTAATTTGAAAAACAGATAGGGCCGCTTTACAACCCTCACTTTTTTGTGTGAGCTGAAAGGTCTCATTGTTAGGGCAGGAGATGTGCAGGTAGAAGTAAATTTAACAAGTTTGCATACGATTGTCTTTCTGGTTTAAAACACGTGAGCGGTGCTCCCGGTGAGGCTTGGGAGCCGGGGGTGAAACACGTCGTGCAGGAAGGCTGGTTTAAGAAGATTTTAATAAACAATGGGCCTGTTTCTGGGCTCCTGACGCAGGCAGAAACTGCTACTGGAGTCAATGAGGCACTTTCAGCGTTTCTCCTTTTAAATATCCTGAATCGCGGAGTGTTTCCTTGCTGTTCTTCCCATACAAAGGACCCGATTGTCAGAAGTGGCTTGAGGATTTTTGTGTGTCTCTGGTATCTGCAGAAGAGCATAAGAAACAAATAGACTTGCGCTATCAAAGAAACGTAATTGCCATTTCAGATTTCCTGTTTAGGATTCAGTCAAGTAGATATTGTTTATGGTTCATAAAACCTTACTACTGTGAGGATTCTCAGATACTGGCAGCACAGAGTTTCAACTTTCATGGTGCTGTAAATTAGGGGGGGAAAAAAACTGTGATAATACTCCTCCGAGAACAGTAAAATAGAGCTCTGCAATGGTTAAATGGAATTTTATAAGCACATTCGGTGTGGAACTGTTTTGCATTACATGAGTTGAATACCTTAGAGATGACACACATCTGCAGGCACTTTATTAAATCCTTAGTCAGCACTTTTCAACCTGATGAGATTACTTCTTCATTTGACTGGAGAAAGGGAAGCGAAGATCTCGTACCGGACTGCAGAATTCTTTCTGATGTTTCACCTTGAGCACTGGGGAAGGACAGCGAGATGCTCGGCAGGACAATACAGACCCGTAGTGGCACTGACAACTGCGTGGCAGTAATTTTACTGAGTAGGACCTTTAGCTCCGGTGTATTCATTTAGCTCTACGCTCGCTGAGAGAATAGTGCTGCAAAGTAAATAGAGGGGAAATAAAATACTGGCTCTTTTATGAAAACGTGCGGAGATAATATCATCCTAACCGTATTGTGATAGAGCACATGATTTAAAAGGAGATTTTAAATTAAGAAAGGCAATATGCCGTTCTCTGTCTGGGTGCAGTCGGATAGGTTACGGAATGTGAAGGGATGAAACGGGTAAGGTGGTTCGACGTGAGAGCACAGCCTGCACCACGTGGAGCAGTGCTCTGAAAGAAGTCCTAAAACACTTCAGCCGTCCGAACGTAGGGAATCCAGGCTTCTTTCTTCCCCTGTAAGCCCCCTAATCGTGAAAAAAAAACTTGACAGATCCCAACTATCGGGGCTCCGAAAGCCTAATACGCTTCCTAGGCGGTTTCATTTGAGGCGCGGAGGGCTCCTCTCCCCTCGCAGGGAAGTTTCACAGGTGCTTCAGGAGGACAATGGTGCTCTTCAGCCCTAATCCGGGAAGCCTTAGACGTGTATAGGAGGCTTGAGGGGGATATGAGATCTTAATATTAAAATGATTAGCAGAAAAGGAGGATCATTCTGTGTGTGCGTTTCAGCTGTAAGACGCTCTAAATTAAAACGGTATCCTGAGAGCGGTGCTGGTGGGACGTGATGGGTAAATGCGCTCTCTGTCTCGCTGTTCTGCTGCCTCAGCCCATAAAACATCTCATCCAAGCGGGGCTGCGGGAGCAGGCGACGCGGGATGCAGCTGTTGGCGAGGTGCTCGGAGTTGGGGTCCTGTAAAAGCAGCTTCTCAGCGAAGGCGGTGGAAGTTTAAAAAACAGCGGCGCGGTTTGGGTCGATCCTGTAAGGGTTAATTAAGTTCTTCATTGGTATTAGGGCCGAGCGGTGTCTGCAGGAGTCATATTGACACCCTAGTGCATGGTAACTCTACTCCTTTATTGACATGTTGCTAGTCAGGAGCACAATAGCACTCTGTGTCTGCAAATCATTGCTAAAATCATCTCAAGAAAAAAAAAAAAAGTTTGAAAGCCCAACGCTAGACAAAGGCCCCAGAGCTGCACTGCGCCGCTAAAAACTCCGGAGTCAGCAACTTCTATTGATTAAAAACTAACCTTTAAAGTAACTCGCAGAGTGTGTGGTTAGCATTTAAATTTAAACATGTCATGAGTTGATTTGTGTTACTGAATACCAACTCAGAAGGAGTTACATTCACATCAGATTTTTTTTTTTCTAATTCCCTTAAGCAGCTAAAGTATTTCATGAAATGTCAATAGGGCAGGGGAGAAAAAAAAGGTGTTTTGGAGGGAGGGGACTCGCGCCCAGCCTCGCCGTTTCTTTTCCCATGCAAATAGTCACCCCAAAAAGAAAAGTGTGGGGAGCGACACACAATAATTAGACCTTTGTCTAACTTTCCCAAGTGCCAGAGAAAGACAGATTAATTAAATATACAACAGTGTTGGTTTTTGGAGTGGGGGTCTCTCTTGCTGTGGAGGTCATAAATTAGGCAGAATAAATACTTCAATGTGTTTGCAGCGGGGCTGCTACGTCAGAGCGGCTGGCGGGCGGTGGGAGGGCGCAGCGCGGCTCTTGCTAATGATAGTCACGTCTGGGGCTGTCTGGTTGCCCCTAGCAACGAGACATGATGTAACACCAGGATGAACTTGAACTTGGGGGACTTGAAAAGGGAACAATAGACCAGAGCAATCAATAAAGCCTATTTCAGTGAAGGATTACAGAGCCGCTCTGGGGTAACCTTGTCTGCAAGGCGCAGGCTGAATAGCAAGATGCGTGAAGGAGCGCGGTGCCGTGGTTGGGGAGGGGGGGGGACGGACGGACGGACGGACGGACGGAGCGAGCGGCGCGGCGGCGGCG